AGATCTGAACTGCGACGGTATTGAGGACCGAGTTGAAGTCGGCTTGAGATCCGGCTCCAGCAAGTGAACTCGTGATGGTATTTTTCGCCAGAAGGAAGCTTTCATCTTCTTGCCTTGCGACGTCTTGGAGATGAACGTTGATCTTTAACCAATCCTTCATCTTGTCTGATTCTAGGTAGGAATAATCGAATTTTTTTCCACCATTTGACGCAGAGAGCTTTGCTCAACGCTTTAAAGTTTCCACTGGGTCCTAGCTGGAAGTTCCAGCAAAAGATCCATGGTAATTGAAAATACAAAGCGAATCTAAACGTCTTGGAGAGAGGAGACGAATAGATACTCTGTTGGAATAGGTGGTAAGATCTCTGAACTTCTACCGGAAAAATCTCTTCGGAGAGTCCAAAGTAAGTCCACCATGTTTGAAACCAAATTGGAAAGTGAGACTTGTAAGCTTGCTTACAGAATGTCACAAACCAGGAATGGTTATAGCCTTGCAACCAGAAGACAATATACCACGCTTTCATGTAGTCGCGGTAATTGTAAGTTTGCGGTTGGAAGGTTACTGACAGTCTCTTCCCTACAAACATACCCTGTTTCCACGAGGAAGGGGTAAGGATGCGGAAGATCCTGWGCTTTGAGTAAATGGTCCTAGAAGGATCATTTCTRTCTGGRACATGAGTTATTTCTGCAGACTTYGAATCTACCAGAATAAACTCATAATAAGTTYGGGTYTTTTGAAKATCCTYTGGYAGGTARTTGAAGCCTTGAGGAAATATTTGCTTGCAGACTTCTTGGACTGAAGGTCCGTCGAACTCTGGTTCAATAATTGAATCTACTAGGGTAGTCTTGGTGAAATACCCAGTAATTGGAGGTCTTGGCTGAAAAATCTTCGGCCTAACTATTTGAGAAAACGAGGAAGGGTTCCTCGGAATCGTTGGTCTGGAAACGGCGGCTGCCGTAGCAGGGCGCCTGTTCCTCGTTGTATTGCCGCGAGGGCGTAACAACGTGCTTGAAGGGGTCGGAAGGCTTGGAGGGCCTGTTTGAATAGTCAAGGCTCTCTGGGAAGAACCTTGCTGACGCCTGGATACCGTTTCAAACTGGATATCCATAGCATAATTTTCTGCACTCATTGGAGATGGTACAGATGTTTGAGTGATGGACTTTTTGCCCTTTGAGATAGCAGTCCTAGAAGAGGATGCTGCTGCTTGGGGAGAAATGCTTGATTCATTTCTCGGCGACGGAAGTCGCTGATTGACTTGTGGCGGAGGCCGCTGGGAGTTTTGCGGCGGAGGCCGCTGAGAATTTGGCCGTCTCCGGCCGGGAGGAGGTTCCATCAGGGAGAGAGATCAAGGCTGATTTGGATGTCTTCAAGAGATTTTCTCTTGAGAGGTAATCAGCAAGGGAGTTCTCACTTCCTTTTATAGGCTCTATTTTGAAATCAAAGCAAGATAATATGGCCTGCCACCTTGCGAAGATTTGTTTTGAGACAAGATTCTTTACATTTTTTTCGAAGATGTATTTGCTTGCTTTTGAGTCTGTTCGTATAGTGAAATCCTTGTTGATAAGATCTCCCTGGAACTTTTGAACGCAAAGTACTCCATTCTCTTCTCTCCTTCTTTACCCTATTATTTCATTTGAGTTTTCTAAGGTATTTCCGAGCATAAGTTTGATTTGACTTTGATACGAAGAGTACATAGTTGGAAGTTGTGTTAATCTTGGGAGCTTTCCAGCAATGATTTTACTTTCAGGGTGGTTCTACACACAATGACAATTATTTTTATTATTCCAATTTGTCCTCCTTCCCAACAAATTAGTTATCAAAAAATTCTTTGGTTTTTGGTTTTTTGTCTTTTGAAATAGAAAACTAAACCTTTATGTTATTTAAAAACCAAAAAATAATAAACAGTAATCAAATATATATGATTTCTGTTTTTTTAAAATAAAAAACTAAAAACTAAAAAAAACCAAAAATAAAAAATAAAGAAAACATAAATGGTTATTAGACGGGTTACGATCCAAAGTGCAATTGGTGGTACTAAAAAATTTATAAAATCAGAATCGAAAACCTATTGACGTAGTAAAATACCCTTTACTATTCTTAGCTTTGCGACGGATACATTCACTAAAAATGTGCTAATATCATTTCTAATCAAAACAATGATAAATTTCAATTTATTTTATTATCATTTTGTTATTGATAGTAAATAAATTTTATTATAACAATTTATTTAAAACCAAACTAGTTTGTACTTTTTAGCTTAATTGATCATCCAATCTTATTTTTGGTTAGTCGGTCAATGATAGTATAAGTTTATATTTGTGCATTTTTGTAAAATTTTAAACCTAATGGTAAAATATATAAATAGATATTCTTTTGTACTATTTTTTAATTTTCTAAATATGCATATGAAACAATAAACAAGAAAAAGAGATGAAAAATAAACATTGTAAAAATATTTTTTAAAAAATGTCATCAAAATAATTTTAACCGTTCAGACAGGCTATAAAAAGAACAAAATTGAAAACTCTTCATCGTTTCCGCGCCAAAATTTCGAAAACCACTCCGTTTCTTGTCGAGAGATTACCAGAAATGTTCTTCGGCGATTCGCAGGATCCAGACCTCGAACCTGCAGAGGAAGAAGACGATCAAAATCGCTACAATTCTCCACAATCTTGCTCCCATGGCCACCGATCGTCGCTCTGCCTCCATACTCAGGAAGGAGGAACGATTTGCCTCCTCTGCTTCTCAAATCTCATCTCCGATCCTCTCTCTCCCACAGTTCACGTCTCTTATGCGCTTTCCCAGCTCTCCCAGGCTCTTGCTCAGCCGCCGTTCCTACGCACCTTCCTCACTTTCCACTCTCACTTCATTGTCTCCCCCTTCGTCGCCGCGCTCTGCTGCTTCGATGACGAGCCGATTGCTCGCCAACTCACTGATCTTGTTCGCCAGCTCTGTGATTTCAGTGCCGCTGACGGTGACGGATCTCTTTCCGAGGATTTTATCGCCAGAGTTTCCGATCGGCTTTCGTCTGGTGCGTTGGCTTGGAGTCGTCGTCAGGTGTATATGGTAATGTTCTCTGTTCTACAGTTCTTCATTACCTATTGAAGTGATTCATTGACGAAATAGTGAGAGAATTTTGTTTTCCTCTTGCAGCTTCACTGCTATGGAATGCTTCTGAACTATCGGACAAAGAATCTCCATGACCTAATTAAGAAGAACGATGGGCTCTTATCTAATCTCGTGGCAGGCCTTGAATTGCCAAGGTGATGAACTGATGAAAATTATCTTACATTATGAACGGGTATTTTATGCAAGTTTTGAATGACTCTCTAAATGCAGCGAGGAGATACGGGGAGAGATCCTCTTTGTTCTATACAAATTGTCCACTAGCACTGAAATTGACGTTCTCTCTGAATTTTGCCCAAAACTTGTGTACCTATCTTTGGAGGCGCTGATGAAGACTCAAAATGATGATGTCAGATTGAACTGTGTAGGTTTGTCGACTTCTTCAAAACTAACTTTTGCGTCAGCTTTTTGACTCAGTTTGATTATTACCCTGCCTTCAGATTATGTTCTAAATACTACTTGCATTTAGTTCTCCTTTGACAGACCTGTACTAATTATACAGTTAACTTTTCGTCATTTACTCTGCCACTAGAATTCATTCCTTCTTAAACCCCAATTTTAGGACAAATATTAAACATGAATGAATAAACCACCAAAGAACTCAAATGCCTAAGCTGATGGGTTGGATAAATTTGGATCCCATTTTTGACCGGATGCTCGTTTGAGCTCTTTTTTTGCTCCGATACCGTATTAAACATGAATAAACCACCCATGAATCAAAAGGTTTAAGCTGATGAGTTAGATAAATTTAATTTACTTATTGGATATCTTAACACAAGTGCGGTAGGCAAATGATTAAGGCCAACCTTTTATACATCTTTCTGCCAGATCTCTTAGTTAAGCAATGGAAGTTATGGTACTAACACAATTGTTTTAGATGTAGCAGGTGATGCATAAGAGTTTAAGTGATATTCTGAATGTTTGCATATGCATAAAATTTCGTCTCTCATCTTCTTATCTGATTGGCATTGATTTATTTTCGTAGCACTTCTAACTGTTCTGGCTCAAAGGGGGTTCTTGGGAAATGAACATGCAAAATATTTGAAGTTTAACGAAAAGGATCAAGGTGAACCTCCTTTGAATACTTTGTTTGCTGAGGCCATCAAAGGTCCTCTGCTTTCGTCAGACAGAGAGGTCCAACTTAGCACACTGGAGCTAATAATTCGTTATTTGTCCTCACAAGTCGCTTCCATCAAGGAGATCCAATTATTAGTTGAAGAAAATATAGTGGATTATGTATTTGAGATAGTACGATTTTCAGGTGAGCAATCGTAGTCCTGATTATTTTAGAATGAGTATAATCTGCCTGAAATAAACTTCAAATTTTAGGATAATGAAATGAGTTGAATGTTGCAGAAGGTAAGGATCCCCTGGCAAAGGTTTGTGTTCAGGCCCTTGATCTTCTTTCAAGAGCTGAACAGCCCTTCAATCAAAGGCTTGCGGTCGGATTTGCAACACTAATCCCAGTTTTGCGTCATGTTGCTGAAGTTCCTTTCCACCCGGTTCATAACCAAACTCTTACTCTCATTTGGAAATGCATTTCTCGGTGTCCTGGAGTAGTGTCTGCATCTCACATTGAAGAACTAGTTCTTATTTTGACGAGTATGCTCCTTAGGAATGTGAATGGGGAGATGGGCTTACTTCCAGACACATTCGCAACAACCTGCTCAATCTTGGTTACAGTTATGAAGTCTCCATCTCACAGGGTGCCTCATCTGGCAAGATCAGTTCGAGAAGTACTAGAACATTTAGTTTCATTTTGTCTTAGTACTTTTGAGGCACAGCCAACTCAGCTCTTGCATTCCTTATACCTTCTCAAGGAGTTCTACGTGTATAGTCATGACAATAGTTTCATCGACGACCCCACCACCAAAGATTTGCAAAATTGTGTTCTTGAAGTATGTACAACACATTTATTACCTTGGGTTTTAGCAACTATTAACGTAGTTGAAGATGAACTTGTCTTGGGGGTAATGGAAACTTTTCATTCGATTTTGCTCCAAGATCCTGACATCAGGATCCTTGATTTTGCAAACACGCTTCTATCAGTTTCTTGGTTCAGTTTCTCTTTTACATGTCTAGGCTTATTTCCTTCTGAAAAGATGAAATGGAGAGTGTATCTAATGCTTAGTTCTCTTGTGGATGTCATGTTCGGAAATGATTCTGGACAATGCATTAGAGAATCTGTATCATTTCTGCCATCTGATCCAATTGATTTACTGTTTCTACTTGGACAGAAAAGCTCCAATGACTTGGAGCTCTCTTCTTGTCAATCTGCCATCTTGCTGTTACTATACACAAGTTCATTACACGATGATAGGTAACACGATTATGTTTATTCTTTATTATGTTCTCTTCCTGGTATACATCTGTTTGCTTGTCTGCTCACCAAATTACTATTTATTCGCCAGACTTGCTGATGAGAAGATGGTCTTAGCGTCTCTGGAACAGTATATTCTTGTCAGCAACAGTGGCTTGCTTTGTGGGTACCCTGATCCATTTACAGTCACACAATTGGTGAATATATATGGTTTTTGTAGGTTTGTTGCTGACACTAGTTGCCAGATCTCCTACAGTCCAGAAGCTGAGAGGATAGTGTTCCAACTGGTGACTGAAAGTGAATGGGATTTGCATTCTTCAAGGATTCACTGGTCGTCGTTGAAATGGTTGTTTAAACAAGAGAGAATCAGAAACCCGTTATGTTATCAGGTTTTGAAAATATGCCAACTCCTTGGCGCAAACGGGACCGCCACTGCCACCATCCACAATCAGTTTATTGGTGCGCGAGAAATAGCAAAATTAGTTGCAGAAGGAGAAAATTATGCTGCAATCCTTCTGATACGCTTGCTGGAACAGCTCGTTGAGGAAGGTGTCGAACATGAAATAAGTTCGGTGGTGAATTTTTTGTCAACCATCGTGAATATCTTTCCAAGTTCCGCAGATCAATTACGTGTGCATGGCATAGGAAATGCAATAAAGCTTCTATATTACGATACTAATAATTCATACTCGAAACAGACATTTAAAGCTGTCTTACTGTTGGTTTTCAGCATTTTGAGATCAAGCCATTCTGGAATACTTTCCGACGATGAAGCTTGGCTTGCAGTCACTGTGAAGGTAACTAGATTTCAGTGTTCAGATAGACTATTTATTGTTCATCTTTGCTTACTCATAGTTTTAAGCAATTGTCATAAAGTTCTCATTTTTCTTTGAAAGCTGGTCGATTGCCTTTCTCCAATTGATATAGCGGATAGGTGGACTCCTGAAAATCTCTTAGTTCTTGCTATTTTATCCTTGATTCTGCACCACTCAACGAATGGAGGACTCATTGAAGCTTCAAAATCCGTACTTTTTCATACTCCCGTGGCATCTGCAATCAAGTCTGTGTTGCATGAAGCTTGCTCAAAGGGGCCTGCTTTAATTGATGATCACGAAGGAACAAACATGGGAAAAACTGTAATTCTTGTTCTTTTTCTAGTTTACTTTTCGATGAGAAGGTTAGCGTTCCCTACTAGGTGCAAATGTTGAAATGAAAATTTGCTAATTTTCTGTTCAGGTAAACGATCCAACTCAGTTTTTTGTTTTCCCTCACTTTTTTCAGTCTTCAAGCTGTTCTACCCGAGGTTGTCAATTGGCAAAACAACCTTGGTCAATCAAATGGAACACCGCTCTCTTCCATTGGCATCACCTGCCACGATTTGTGTAGACTCCTGCATTTTGGATCTGCTTCGGTTAAACTCGTGGCTTCATATTGCCTGTTGGAGTTGTTTACTCGACTATCAGAGCAGAGAACTAGCAAACAGGAGGAGCTGAGATGCACCACAAATTACCTTATGTCCGTGATCGCGACATTGGAAGGCCTGGTTGTATACGGTGACCATCGTGTTGCTACGAATTGTAGCCTGTGTTTATCGATGGTTTTAGGGTGGAAACAAATGAATATGCAGGAGGCGAGGGTTATTGTAAAGAACAAGTGGTGTAGGATAATCGTTGAAGAATGGGCAGCTTCCATATCTCTTCCATCTTTGGCTCCAAATGCGATCATTGGTCACAAACCTGCGATTTATGTTACAGCGGCGTTTTTGAAGCTGCAGAAGGATTTTGTATGGATGCGATCAATATTTGATAAAGCATGCATCTCTAGCATAATTCAAAATGTCACAACCAGCAATTTGAGCCCGGAGATGGTATCTTTCTTCCGGGAACTATTGAACTCTGAGTTCCTGCAGGCAGATCAAATTGCCAGCCTAAATTCGGTTCTTCAGGTAACGTTTCTCAAAACCCGACTTTCGTCAAATTCTTCGCGATTAAGGCGTCCCAAAATAGAACGAGGAGGAACCTTGTCCTCTTCACAATTAAATGTTAGAAGGACAAAGTTTCTCGAGTATTTTCCTATTGATATTTAAAACGAGGAAAACAATATAACCTCATTTATTTTCAGAAAGAATGGTTGATATTCATGCCTATTCAATATGCCTTTTTGGTTTTTTACAAATTTCTTCCTTATGTTCATTAAATAATTTATTTATTAACATTATTATAAATTAAAAAATATTATAATTTAAACGTGGTCTCTTCCAGGCTTGCAGGAAGCAGATGTACTATGAGAATGATGGGGGTGCTCAAACAGAGGAAGAAATCGGGAATCTGTTTGCTAATGTGGATGATCTGGGAGACGTTTGTAAGTATCTCCTTCACTTGATCATGCAATCAGGCTCGCATGAGAATAAAGGATTATTAAACGAAATAGAGTTGTTTTTTAGGGCTTTAGCAGTGAAGGATCACAACTAATCTGTCATTTGTACTAATTGATTCAAGTGAAGTACTAACTATTGGGAATACATCAAATTTACAACACACGAAACATAGACTGGTTTTGTACATAAAAATCTCCCTACAGTAAGGTTTTCGTGCAAAAGTTCTCTCAGATGTCAATGGATTATCATATCTTTTAAAACAATTTGATGTAGGTATGTGCAATAAGCTAGTTTATCTAGTTTTAAATCCGGTTTCCCCCTTTTCAAGAACCAGATCAACGAGTCCTTCATAAGTCCATATTTTATTGTCCCTATCCTTGGGCTCCAGAGCAGCGTATGTCTCTTCACAGCTTTTAAGGAAATTTCCCTCTCCAAATGCAGCTAGAACCAGCGAGTCAGTGTTCATCTCCACAGCTCTAGATAGCAAGTTCATCCTTCTCCATGCCTCTAAAGTTCCGGTGCCGTTCAATCCTTTGTTATTTGCATCTAAAATAATTCCAATGGTAACTATATCGGGTTTGACATTTCTTGCTCGCATTTCAGAGAACGACATTCGGAGCTGCTTAAAATCTTTCATTTTCAAATAAGTTAGAAGTATAATGTTTGCAACTGTCACATTCCAAATCTTGTTAGCTCTGTCCATTTCCTGAACAACAGAGTTCATACCCCTTCGGCTTGATAGACAAGCATGCGATAGAAGATGCAGGCACCAAAAAAGATCGGTCTTCCCGATTTTAATGTAAAGATTTACGCCCAAGGTCTTGTTGGGTTTGTAAGGTGATTGCAAACAAAGTCCCACATTGACTAGGGAAGAGAATGATCATGGGTATATAAGAGAGGACAATTATCTCCATTGGTATGAGGTCTTTTGGGTGAAACAAAAAATAAAGCCGTGAGGGCTATGCCCAAAGCGGACAATATCATACCATTGTGGAGATACGTGGGGTACTTGGGGTACCGTTGTCCTTAACAAGTGGTATCAGAGCCATGGTCTAAGCCTAGCTGTGTCGGTAGGTGTGGTCATGGTTTAATCCGTGGGTGTGCTCTATCAAGGTTGTGTTGCATCCTTGAGCCTTGGATAAGAGCAAACTCTCGTTTCTGGATTCCGAGAGTAGACGGATGAGTGACTACTTGAGGGAAGGCTCGGGTGGTACTTTTTTCGAGGGGGGGATTGTTGGGTTTGTAAGGTGATTGCAAACAAAGTCCCACATTGACTGGGAATGATCATAGGTATATAAGACAGGACAATTATCTCTATTGGTATGAGGCCTTTTGGGTGAAACAAAAAACAAAACCGTGAGGGCTATGCCCAAAGCAGACAATATCATACTATTGTTGAGATACGTAGGATACTTGGGGTACCGTTGTTCTTAACAGGTCTCCAATCTTGAATACATGAAGTTCTTGATATATACTAAAGTCAACTTTCTGATTAGGTCTTCCTTCAGATTGGTCTTTGAGTTCAGGATACTTCTATAGAACATTTCCATTTTATCCAATATGCCAAATTTGGTGTAAGCTTCCAACATGGCAACCAAGGTAGATGACTGCAAATCCATTCTTTTTGAAAGCATAGTTTGGTATAAACCTTCCATCTTTTTAAACAATCCACCTTTGGAAAAATCTCTGATAAGCAAATTGTAAGTTATTTGGTCCGGAAAATATCCATCCAATTCCATCTGTTTCAGACACTCGACCATCTTATCGTACATTCTATATTTTCCATAGGCTTCGATTAGGCCATCGTAGGTTTCTGGTTCTCGAGTCATATTGATGTCTTTCATCTCATTGACGAAAAACATAGCAGTTTCAAACTCACCTTTTGCAGCAAAACCATGGATGAGGGAGTTGTAAATACCCAAAGATGGTTGAAGGCCAATGCTCTTTCATATCTTGAAATGCTGACATAGCATCATCCATAAGACCATCTCGACTCAATAGAACTACTTCCTTCTCGTAGTTACTCTTGTTAATTCGTGATCTCTCGATGTTCTTCCACGCATCAAATAGCTGCACAAAGTTTCAAATTTTCATTCACTATATGCACTAGAACTCCCAAAATTTACATAGATCCAATCCACTATCAAGTCCCAATAGGATCCTCAAAAGAACCAAGAAAATAGATGGCGGTTATTTAAAGGAATGTAGACCATAACCTTATATCTATCAACTTTCACTTGGTTGCAGAAGATTAAATTTCAGAACAGATTTGAAATTTCCTTCAAAATAATATGGCAGTAGAAAGCAGATTCTCAGTTGTAACAATAATTTCTTGGCAACCAAACAGAAGGTTGAGTATTTAGGGTGTGTTTAGGAGTGATTTTGACGGTCAAAATCAGTTTTACCATTGTCAAAATCACTTTTCTTCTCATTGATCATGTTTGGCCAATTAAAAATTTGATTTTAGGAAGGTTTAATATCACTTTAAATTGATTTTTAGTATATCACTTGGATGGTGATTTTGAAAAATCAATTATACTTAGATCTCTTTTTTCAAAATCACTTACCCTACCATCACTCCCAAACACACCGTTACAGAACTGGTAGGACTTTGTACATATATTGGCAAACCTTTGCTTTCAAGTGAGGGAGATGACTGTAAAATCTAGGTTAAAAGTTAAAACACATTTTTAGACCTCCCCTCTCCAGGTAATAGAACTAAATAATTACATAATAAGGATACGTTGGGCCAAAATCACTTTCTGCCATTGTCTAAAATCTAGTATGTCTTTGAAAGTGATTTTAACACGACGAGTTTTGTCATTATCAAAATCACCTCCATTTAAAATAGTAATATTTTACAATGATATACAAGTTATTTGGATAGATACCTTTACCATTCATATCACGAAAAAAAGAAAGGAACAATTTGAGACGACTTCCAACTTTCCCACCTCTACCGCTCTACTAGACACACACTCAAATTGCATGCCTCCTCACCAACTAAACCTCTACGCTCAGGAAACACAACCTAGCTCACTAAGATATGCAGGATTGAGCCATAAAAATAGGAACTAACACAAGTCCCCATTTTTTTTTATTATCGAGGAGTCAGCGGCCTTTTGGCCATTTTGCCCCTAAACTTAGGGATATACGGGCTGTTCCCATGCCCGTACATACGCAAGGGGTAACACAAGTCCCCATTTTTATTGCCCCTTCTTCTCAGGATTGGAGGCATAACAGGAAAAATCACTCTCAAACGTATCCTAAAGCTAAAAGAAAGCAAAGTACATTGTAATCTAAAATCTGTAAGAGAAGGAGAAGCAGAACCTTGAGGAGTTGATGGGATCTGGATGCTTGTGTGAGGTATTTGACCACAGCCCAGAAATGGTCTGTGCTCCAATCTCCATGGTGTGTAAGTAGTAGCAAAGGGCAGGAATCGGTTTTGTGGAGGTGGGAAATCAAGGTCTTGAGGGAATGGTGTTGGTGAAAAGTGTCTAGTAATAGAGTGGCATGCTTTGTGGGACTGTGCGTTGGAACTGCACAATAACTTGTTGGGTATAGAAGAGGCTGTGGAGTTGGAGCCGAAACGCCAATTTGGAGCCGCAACCAATAGAGTCGTAACCATGGAGAACACAAGTTTCCATCCAGGTGCTCCTAATTTGCTCACTCCTCTTATTTCACTGCTAAAACAAACATAGACCTTTTCTTCCTTTTATTTAAATACTATTTTTTGTCATCTATTTTCTGTAATTTTTTTATTTTTATTTTTGATCATTTTAATTAGGGGTGTATATGGGAATTGCCCAAACCGACTTGATCGACCGAAACTGACTGAATCGATGTCGGTTGGTGGGTGGTTGATTTGGGATTTTCTCAAACTGTCGGTCAGTCGATTGGAAATAAACTTCCAAAATCGACCCTTACAAACAAATTAGGGTTCTATTCTGATTTGCAACACCTCCTTCTCCTCTCTTCTTTCTCTCTCCTTCTCCCTCTTCCCTTTGGGTTGCCTCGTCGGCTGGCCAGCCACCTCATTGTGACATCGTCGAGGCCCACTCGCTGTCGTTGCAACCTAGACCCCGCCACTCAATTTTCACCTCGACCCAGCCCCTGCTACTTAGATCTGTTGCAATCCCACCCCTCAGCCCCCTTTTCAAGTCGAATTCAAGTTTGGATGTTTGTCGAAAAATACAAAATGTAAATAGAAAAAGAAAGGTCGGTTTGTCTAAAATGACCTACCGAACAGACAAAAGGTCAGTCGGTAGAAGTTTCACCTATTCGTTGGTCGGTGGGGGTTTTGGCTCGAAAACTGATCCAATTGACCAATCTATATCCCTAATTTTAATATATACTTTTAAAAACTGACTAATTTGTTTCTTATATTTGCAAAATTTTAACACAATTTTTTTACAAAATAAAAATTTTTTTAATACAAATTTATGGGTAATTTTTTTACAAAATAAAAATTTTTTTAATACAAATTTATGATTATGTTTTACCCAATTTAATGAGATATGTTATGTTAAAGTTTTGGTTGAAACAAGTTAGATAAAAATTAAAATAAATGGACCAAAATAATAAATTTTTAAAGTATGTGGATAGAAAATAGTCTTTAAAATTACCAAAATTAAAAGGAAGGAAAGTTGAAAATACAACGTATTAGAGGTAGAGAAAGTAAGCAGTATTTGAATTTTATTTAATCGCATAATTATACTCCAACGTGAGTGAATTTGAGAGTTTGAACCTATCACATAGGTGATGTGATCCCGGAGATAATTAATAATGTTTATGATCTGACTGAAAATTTAGAGGGTCGAGGACAAAGAAATTGTTAATCTCTCATAATAATTCTTATTTTTTTGAGATTTTTTCATCATTTTAAATATCCGTCGACATTTCCATTGATATATCTATGTTTTCATGAGTTTGACATCGAGATGAGGAGTAAGTCGACATTAAAAAATCAACAAAATATAAAAAATATCAACAAAATGTCACAAGACTAATTATTTTTAACTAATTTAGAAATATTAAAATATTTATTTGTTCATTTAAATTTTTAATTTTTCTAACTTTTGTAGAAACCTCCATCAATGTCGATATTTTTATCGATAGTTCTATGAAATTGAGATCTTGACATTTTCATTGACATCGACATTTAAAATATTAGATGTTCCACACGCCTCTCTTTTTATGTTCAATCCAGTCTCTTTACTCTAAAATCTATTTGATTTTTTTTTTCCGAATTAAATCTCAACATTGTTAGCCTAAGATGTAAACCATCACTTATCTTTCTGCACAAAACATAAATAAATAAATAATAATAATAATAAAATTTGTTGGAGATTTAACTAAACTTCAAAAATTTTTAAATTATATAACTAGGAGTGAGTCCATAATTTTTATTAATTAGAGACAAAATTTTATATTTTTTTAATCAAAGAAACATTGCATTAAAAAGAAACAGTGGTAGAAAAGTGACCACAATCAACCACAAACAGAAGTCACAAATGATAACAACTATTCCAAAAGATAGATAAATGATTATTACACTTAACCAATAAAACAGATTGTTTGCTCAAAGAGCTAGGAATAAGAAAAAATTTTAGTCCATTAAATACTTTCTCCAAAGTCACAACATTTCTAACCTCATTTAATGATTTCAGGAGAGATTTATCACTTAAGTGAGGGATCTTGTTAATTATGACACTCCTATTTAGGATTTGAAGGAAAATAGTTGCCTCCAAAGTTCCTTTATTCTCTACCATGACACCTAAAGGAAAGATTAGGCAAATTTTCCAAATCATGTTGGTACGAATCTCAATAAAATTAACACTCATAGCCTTCACAGATTCCAAAATGGTGTTTGAGCCGATCGCTGCCACCTTTGTCGTCGCTCACCTTCTGCTCTGTCATTTTTGCCCTTGAACCATGGAAGTTCTTTGAACTAGAATGTAAGGAAAATGAAGAGTCATCCCAAGAGATCGCCCGCTCCAATTCTGTGCTTGATAACTCTTCAAAATGCTCCGATGACGAAACCATGGACCATACATAACAATGTTGGCTTTGATTTTGTTAGCCGCAACAACATTATTAATATCCAACGAGGAGATCTCCAACACCTGGCCACCGCCTGCCATCACAGAAACTAGCAGAAAAGAAGGATCCTCTTCGAAAGTCGCCTCTACGACAGCAATAGAGGTCCCTATAATATCTTGATCCATGCTACTTACTACTTGAAAAAACCCACGGAAAAACTATAACAAAGTAGAGAGGAACACCCTCTAAAAAAATTCAGCCAGAGGACTGAAAGAAAACGCACACCTTTCATGAGGAGGAGAAGGAGAAGGGAGTTTGACTAAAAAAAAAAAAAAACTTTAAAATCTTAATATATTTTTTTTATATAATTTTTCTTAATTTAAGACTAATCAAGAGGGAGCAACTGCCTCTCTCCTGTCTTTTTTTTTTCCCTTTCTTTTTTAGCACTGTGCTCCTGACTATAATAACAATTTGACACACCTGCTAGAATCTTTCTACTCTACTGTTGTACTAAAAAACACTATAATAAAAGTTTGGTTAGAAATTAAAATACTATTTTGCTCCATTTACTTTTAGATTTAGTTCATGTTGATCTGTGTACTTTCAAAATGTTCGCTTCGGTCACTATACTTTCAAATTTAGTTAATTTTAGTTCATTTACTTTCAAAATATTTGTTTTGGTCAGTATACTTTTAAAAAGTGACCATTTTGATCCCTTAATTTTATTTTCAATCTCATTTTTTCTTTCACAATTTCAACACAACACTACATTCAATAAATTTCTTGAAATGTAATCATGATTTTATGTTAAAGAATTTTCTTTGTGTGTAGTTGTGTTAAAATTTTGAAAATATGAAAAAAAATGATAACTATTTAAAAGTATAGGGATAAAAATGAACACTTTGAAAGCAAGAGAACTAAAATGAATTAAAATTGAAAGTATTTGACTAAAATAAACCTTTGAAAACCTTTGAAAGTAGAGGAATCAAAATAAATCAAAAGTCTGAAAAGTAAAGAGATGAAAATAGTATTCTATCTTAAAATTTTTTTAATTGTGGAAATAAAAATTTAATCTACAATAAATCATGAAAATTTAAACTAAAAATTATTATGGTATAATAACAAGTTTCTTACCTGATGCATTTTCTTTAGACACAAGAAGAGTAGGGAGACCAACTTCTTATATACACATATGAGATAATTCTTCCTAATTTCAGTTGGTTAATACATATATCGATAGTTAAATCCTCAATCAATCTAAAAAAACCCTATTAATTCTAGAGAGATCTAATCAATTTACAGGCTAACCTATAAAAATTAGATTAAAATACTAGTTTGGTCCCTGTACTTTCTGATTTGGTTCATTTTAATTCTTATATTTTTAAAATATTCGTTTTAGTTTATGTACTTTTAACTTTAGTTCATATTTTAGTCTATGTGCTTTGAAAATGTTTATTTTGGTATCTGTACTTTTAAAAGTGATCATTTTGGTCCCTTCATTTTATTTTAAATCTTGTTTTTCTATCACAATTTTAACACCATATTACAGTCAATATAATTTTTAAAATGTAAATATTACTTTAAAACTAAATAATTTTTGTAAAATTTGTGTTAAAATCTTGCAAAGATGGATTAAAATAAGCAGTTTTTAGAAATAAGGGAACCAATATGAACATTTTCAAAGCATAAAAACTAAAATGAACTAAAGTTAAAACTACCAAACAAAAATATTATTTTAACCTAAAAACTATACTGAAAAAAGTGAAAAGGAGGCTTCAAAAAAAAAAAAAAGTGAAAAGGATAATTTAACTTAAATTATACCAATAAATATCAATAAAAGAATGAAATTTTCAAATCATATAATTTTGAAAAGACCCCCTTCCCCTGCATCATGCTTGCTCAGTCTGATTCCTTGTCTCACTTGCGAAGAAATCGCAGCTCAATCTTCTGCAACTCTCCCTTCTTTCCCCTCGACGAAATGAGTTTCCATGGAAATGACCCAAATTCTTCTTTCGAACGCAACCTCCGCCAAGCTCTCTACAGCCTTCAAAACCACTGTTCTGGCCTTCTCCACACCCTCTCCCACCTTCCGCCCTTCAATCCCCCTCTTCCGTTCAAAACCCACCTCCAAAACCAACCCAAACGGGCTCTTGACTCCGCAATTTCACCCTCCGATCCCGCCGCCAAGAATCCACTTTGGGCTCGGGTTGCTGAATCCGCGACGACCCAATTCAGCCCTTCTGCCCGCCCTGCTGCTGCTGCCGCCCTGTCGACGGAAGCCATCGAAGAGCGGCTCGCGGGTATTCCTGTTTATGCCCTTAGCAATTCGGCTGAGGAATTTGTGTTGGTTTCTGGTGCTTCCACTGCGAAATCTCTGGGATTGTTTTGCTTTAAGAAAGAGGACGCGGAAGCGCTTCTTCAGCATGTTGGAATGATGGATGCCTCGGCGCAGAATGGGTCCAAAGTTGTGCCCGTTGCTTTGAATAAAGTGGGTATTACTACTCTCCACTGTATTTCACTATTTTGTATGTATGTATAAAGTCTTCTCTTGTGTTTCCAATCCAATTTTGTTGCTTGTTTTCGTAGGTTTTTCAGCTCCATGTTAATGGGGTGACCTTCAGATTGGTTCCGGAGTGCTCTCAGGTGAAAAACGCTCTGAGTGTAAGTTCTCTCCTCCCCCCTCCCTCCCTCTCTCTGGTGTTTGAATTTAGTTTCTCTGATATTCTTTTTTTTTCCCCTTAAAAATGTCAAATCACGATATCTGTTTTGCTTGTTTCTCTTCAGTAAAGAAAATGACCATTTGCTGTATTTCTTTATCCCCTTGTGGCTGTGGCCCAAACTTCAATCTCTGCTCTGGCAGTCATCTTTACTTATCGTGTACTTGTCTGTCCATTGACAATATGAATTTGCCTGCGTAGGAAAGAAAAAAGGCTGGTATTTCTGCTGATGGATTTTCTGGGGTTCCTGTTTTCCAGGTTAATTTCTAAGCATTCCTTAATGAAAGTTGTTATTCATAGTCCATTGTTAACAACTATTCCATTCACCTTCAATGGTAGAGAAAGCAGTATTTCTACCAATATGCCATGTGCTAACCTTTCAATTGGGAAGTATACTTTGACCATGATTTTGTTTTTCATTTCCTCTTTTTGAAAATGAGGTATGTTTTCTTTGTTTAGCTTTTCACTTCCAGAACACTTTTTAATGTTTGTCAAATTGCAAAAACAAAAAGCAGTTTTGGAAATGTATCTTTTTTAATTTTTAAAAATTAACTTGAATTTAAACAATTATTTAAAAAGTAGATTGGAAGACAGAAAAAAGTTAGTAAATAAGCATAATTTTGAAAAACAGAAAACTAAAAGAAAAACATTATCAAATGAACCTTAAACTTATGAATTTAGGAATACTGAAGACTATGAATTCCGTTGTTGAAATTAAATTTGCAATGGCAATGATGACATGCATTTTATGAGTATAAAGTTATTGCCTGGTTGAAAGTTTTATGATTACATTTTAAATAATGCCTCAAAATTTGAATGTTGTCATTTTCTTTAACAATGATGTATTGCTGAACATTGAGTTGAAAGATCAGTTGGTACATTAACTTTTTAGTAAAGCAAACCCATATTACCATATATGAGTCAATCCTTTTTCTTGTGTCTTTTTTTTTTCTTTCTAATCATGATTGTTTATGATGCATAGTTGTACCACTTTTGAGAATTTAGTTTTGTTTAAAATCCACAAGGTGGTTAATTATTTTTGATATTGATAGGAGTTTGATATTTTGAAACTCCGGAAATTGGTTTCTGAGATTTGATCAGAGCAGTATTCCTGTAAAAGAGCATGGAAGAAAACAACATAAAACCAAATAAACAAAAAAATATGACTGTAATTGTGTACCGCAATAACAAAAAGAATTTTGCACTTAGAAAACGAAGCAAGGAAAAGACAGGCGTCTTTTCCCCAGCTTTCTTTCAACAATTGAAAAGAAGCAGTGTTATTGAGGCGAGTGCCTCTATGTGCCTATGGCTAGAGGCAAGGTACCTCTTGCCTTCAATGCCTCAGCCCAAGTCCATGTCGTGCACACAAAGAAGTGCATGCCATGGTCTGGCATTGTGGTCACCATGAGCTTAAAGTTCATGGTGAGCCATAGTGGATTAGTCGAGATGAACTGAAATTATTTGAAGGAAAAAAACTTGTGCACTATCGGGAGAAAAGAAAAGTCACCCAACAACTTTCTTCAGCTTGTCCTAATAGCCTTTGAAGCATGAACCAAAACTCCCTTCCTTTTCAAAGCTCGAAATAGGAAGGAAAGGAAAACAAAAGAAAATCTTTCCTCTTCTTTGATTTCCATCTAAGTAGCAAATGATGAACAATAATCTATGTCTCCTCTCCTTGCATTGGTTCTATTTCAGTCATAAAGGAAATTGTTCTCCTCTTCCTCAATCTTTTGATTGCCTCTGACTTCCCGACTCCTCTTCCTAAATCCTTATTTTGAAAGAGTTCATTGGTCCCACTCCCATTATTGGATGTGACACTAGGTTGTCCCTTTTCTTATTTCTTTGGATGGTAAACGAATTTCATTGATTATATGAAATTAACAAAAAGGGAAAAAATGCATCCAACGAAGTTATAAAAAACATCTCCAATTGGATTTGAGAGAATTCAAGCTATAACTAGGAGAAACCCTTTTGCACCAAAATAAGGCTAAGAATAAGATGTGTTCCACCACTGCTTCATAACATTTTTCTTTATCTTGAAAAATTCTAGCATTTCTCGTTCCAAATGATCCATATAAAGACTCTGTTGATGTGCAACTAGAGAGGGTTCTTCCCTTGCTTGAAGGGGCGCTCCTTTAAGATAAAGGAAAGCCACTTTTGAATTTTGAACGGGGGAGCAAAAGAGCAACTAAGAGCTGAAAGAAAATGCGCCCATATTTTTTATGCCAAAGGGCAGTGGACGAAGATGTGTCCTTGAGTTTCATGAGCCATTTTACTACACCAGTTTGGAGATAAGGCCAGCCAGGGATGCTGTCTATGAACCCGATCATGCATATTAAGACTATTGTGACTTAGCTCCCAGATGAGAATTTGATCTTCTTTGGGTAGAAATCCTTCCATATATCTTTGTGTATATAGCTGGTGTTTGATCCCACCCTTTTGTAAAACTGCTGGCCAAGGATTTTGTAGAAAAGCATCCTCCCCTTTCAAAGATTCCACCTCCAAGAATCCCCACTGTTAGGGAAATGATGAGAAGCTAAGAGAGTTGTAAGCCTGCCCATCCTTAAAATACACCTCAATACTGTCCGCTTTGCGAGAAGAATGCAGAGACGCAAAGCCACATCTTCATTTCTTGCACCCTAGCAGCTACATTCTGGAAGGTTATCCTGGAACCCTTCCACTACGGCTCTTCCAAATGACCTGAAAACTCTCCTTTCTCTTACCTTATCAGGCAACCCCTTTATAAAGGAAAAAGAAGCTTCTTTAGATGCACTTCAGTGTTTTTTCTGGGCAGCATTGTATGAAAATAGGGACCAAAGGATCTTCAGCGACAAAGAGAAAATTTTTATCGTTTTTTAATACTATAGTATTTTTTGCTATCTCTTGGCGTAAATTATCTCCACTCTTTCATTTTTATAGTTTTTCTACACTTATGTAGTTTTGTCCAACGGGACAAGTTTCATGTAATCGGCTACCTCCGGATTATGCCAAGTCATCATGGATTCAGAACTCTATTGAGCTGCCTATCTGGGGACTTGAATATACCCTTGAATTTCTAGACTATAAAATATAGTAATTAATAGGGTTGAATGATGCTCTCGATTTTAGACTTAATGAAGCATAATTATATTAAGTTCCATTCTCCTCACCTCAACCATTGTTATGTTGGGATTTTGTTTTTTATCTTGTTTATATTACCTTTTTTGAGGATCTAAACATTTGAGACTGACGTTTTCAATTTTATGCACTTTGCATAGTCGAAAAGCTTGATACTGAGGAGCCAAAACAAGAGCTACCGTCCTGCATTTTTCAGAAAGGTTAGTCAAGAAGAGTAGTTTTCTTGACCTGGACTATCATCTTTACATGGATTCATTTTTACAACCCTCATTCTTGGATTCTTTTAGGAGGATTTAGAAAAATCTCTCCAAAGAGCATCTCGAGAACAAAATCAAGTGAATCCTGCCTTCCGACCGGGCGATATCCAGGTATAGCTCTCTCTGCTTGTCACTAGTGAAGTGTGTTCTGTGGAGTGGAACTTATAAAATTGTGTCTGAACCTTGTAGGTTGCTGGTTTTGAAGAAGTAATAAAAGGAATGAAGGTGAGGATCGTACTGCCTATCTCATTTTTATTTTGGCTAAATTACAAAAAATGCCCTCATCATTTTAAAAGTTTCAATACTACATTTGACATTTCATAAACGTTTCAAAAATACTCTTTGAGCAAACATCCGTATCTGTTAAGTGTCACGTCGTTCTAGATGATGTCACATCAACTTTTTGTTCAAAATATTAACGGATGTTTGCTCAAAGGGTATGTTTGAAATGTTTATGAAAGGTCAAGGATAGTATTGAACGTGTTGAAAGGAAGGAAGGATACGTGTATTTTTGAAACAAGGGGCACAATTCAGGTGTATTTTTGTAATTTAGCCGTTTATTTTTAAGAACTCGTTGTCTCTCTTTATATATATATATATCTCTAAATGCTTGTTAATAGAAAAAAAGTAGTTGTAAACCTATGATCTAAGTTGTAATTTTGTTTCACTGATAGGATAATTCAATTTCAACATGGGATGATGTAGTCTTCATTCCACCTGGATTTGATGTTTCAACTGACCCCAAAAAGCAACAACAATAGGCATTGAGACAGTAGCTGTTAAATTTGTCTCATCATATAAAGCTTATATGGAGGCAGTAGGTTACTTGAGGTAATATCTTAATGCTTCCTTTCACTTCTTTTATTTCTTGTTTTCTGGCTGTCTTATGGGGTTGTTTGGTAATATTGTCCCCCCTTTTGATTTTTCTTCTTCTTCTTAACTATTTCGTATTTTTTGTTCTCTGAACATGTTTGGTGATCGTTTCTTGTTATGTAAAATYTTAAATTAAAAAGTAAAAGTTTTATATCAAAATTAAATTTTCAAGTTAAATATTCAAAATTTTTATGTTATATATATATTGATTATCATGCATTTTAAAAAATAAAAAATGATTCTTCAAGGGGTAGTTTAGTTGGCAAAGATTTGAGGTTTAGTGGTCATATTGGCTTAGAGATCTCAAGTTCGCACCGAAACCTTCGGTGCCCCAATTATAACTGTGGAAATTTTTCTTAAATATGAGAAACAAGAAACAAGAACCAATTGTAAATAAGATTATTTACAAATTTTGGAAAATAATTGTTTTCTTGTTTGTTGTTATTTTCATTTTTAAAAAAAACACAAATGAAAATCTTATTTCATTAATTTGACTTATAAAATGCATTATAATATAAAAGTATTAAAAGGACAACATAATTTGAAGTTTATCTTTGGAGTAAAACTTTCATTTTTCATATTAAAATTTTAGTGAAGAAGAAAATCTTTGTCAAACACTTCCTTTTTTGTTCCTTCTACTTTCTTTTTTTTTTCCAAAATGTTATCAAGTAACCTTGATCTCGGTGGGCACTTAGGATTTAATATTCTATACCTTGACGACTAAGTGTAGTAAAGTTAGGTGGTTGTCCCATGTGATTAGTCATAATGTGCAAGTTAACTCAGACATTCACAAATATAATTAAAAAAACCCTCGAGCTACTTGCCCTTAGTACCTTAAAATATGCCTTGTTTGACATGACAATGATACCTGATCTTTCTTTCTCAGGTTCCAATGATGGGAAGGAAAGAGGAGGGATATTTTTGTTACATTTGAGCTGGAGAAGGGGAAGCCTATACCAATAATTTATATCATAAAAATGTCATAGCATTCTGCATCCTTTTCTTATCCTTTCAACTTTTTATATTATGCTGAGTTGTTCGTTCTGGTTTCGATTTTGGATCACTTCTCGCCATTGTCGATAAATAGTGAGAAATGTTTTTCTTAGTTGATGGTTACATTTAGGCTCTATTTGTACCACCATGTGTTGACTTGATGGTTATTAAACGAAAAAAAAGAAGTTAGGTTTAAAACTTCGAAACTCATTTTAGTTATCATACTTTTATCTTTTGTTCATTTTAATCATTATATTTTCGAAATTTTTGTTTTGGTTACTCTGCTTTCTTTTTTTTTATATCAAGTCTTTTTTCTATCACAATTTTGACACAACACTACACTCGATAAATTCTTCGAATATTGTCATTGTTTTATTTTTGAAGAAGTTTTGTCATGTTAAAATTTTGCTATTATAATGACTTTTTTTTATATTTATTTATTTATTATTGTGATCTTTTAATGAATATATACCTATATGAACATGTATTTGAAGTTAGTGAAGTAAGGCTAGGGGACTAATTTTAGACATAATATATATAGGTTAAATAATTATAAAAAGTTTGATGATAATAAAATACATTTTTAATGCAAAATTTAGAGATTAAAATAAACATTTAGAAATTGAAGATTAAAATATAATAAAAGACCGCAACATATAATTTTAATTTAATTTATTTAAAAAAATGTATTTGAAATCTTAATTAAGTTTATAAAAAGTCTTTTTTTTTTAAATAATTATTCTTTAAAAAATTGAAGTATGAGGAAAGGATTTGGACCTTCAACCCTCGAGTTGATTCCTTAACTAGCTAAGCTAACTTTGATGTTTCTAAAAATTTAACTAGAATATTAAACCTAAAAGATAGTTCAAGAAATCATGAAATTGTTACTAGATTATTTTAATTTTAAAAAAAGTTGGGGCAAGAAATCATGAAATTGTTACTAGATTATTTTAATTTTAAAAAAAGTTGGGGCCAGAGACTAACGAGGTGAGATAGAGACTAACGAGGTGAGATAGAGACTAAAAGTCTTAATAAAGTCAAAATTGAAATAATCTAGTAACAATTTTATGATTTCGTTTGGCGGGATTTCGAAAAATCCCGTTTGATCGTCTCCTCAAGAGACGACAATATTATTCTAAGCAAAAACAAAACAACTATTATATATATTATATATATATATATATATAACTAACACAATGCTTTAAAACAAAATGAATATTGTGGTGCAGTGGATAAGGGATCGCTTGGGGAGTTAAAGGATATGGGTTTGAGTGGTGATATGTGTTTTTTTTTTCCGTTTTATTATTATTATTATTATTATAAAGGATACGTACCTAAAAAAATAATTTTTTTTTTCGTTTTGGGGAGTGGCATATTTTCGTAATTACTTTAGAAAATAGCATTATTAAAAAAAAATCCCTAACTTAGGCTGTCTATTTTTCATTTTGAATAAGAAAATGTATTTGTGTAATTGGTATTTGCCCATTCAACTTAAAACTCTTGAGACCCGTCACCTGCCACTACAATTATGAAAAAAAATTTTCTTTGTTTTTATTTTTTATTTTTTTAGTACCATAAGCAATGTTTGAAATGTCGATGTCGATGGAAATGTCGAGGTCTCGATTTTACGGATGATGTCGATGGATATTTGGAAAAAATTCATAGAAATTATGGAAATTAATAAAAAAATTGTTTTAATTAGTTAATAAAACTTTAATAATAACTTAATTAAGCTATAATTGATAACTTTTAATTATCATACGTAAAAATATGAGTAACTTACTTATCAAAATGTTGATGTCAATAGAAATATCGGAACAAGATAATGAAGATTTTTTTTTAATCAAAACAAGATAATGAAGATTGATGGAAATAATTTGAATTAATAAATTAGAGTTCAATGTTATTTAATTATGTTTTATTGATAATTTTTAACCAATCTAGTATTTATTACATAATTGGTATATATATACACATATTCATATGATGATTAAATTGAGTTATTAGAAATTGAAGGGTAGATTTAAAAATTTTGTAATTAAGTTTGAAAAGAAAAATGTATATAAACTTTAGGTTATAATTAAAAAAAATCAATAGGAATAAAAATCCGTTAGGTCAATATTAAAAATTGAAATAGAATTATAATAATATAATTATTATGATAAGAATGAAGAAAGAAAGGAAAAGAAGGAAAAAAGAAAAAAAAACTAGCGGAGCTCACATTGAGGGAGGAGGGCCTCTGTAAAACCCCTTCCCCACCCCACCTCAAGTATATCTCTTCTCGATTTTGGATATGGATTGGGGAATAGGCTGGACTCAGTCCTGAGTTAAAGTTTTTTTTAATCGATATATTGCAAATATCGACGAAATGTCGATATTTTATTATAGCTCATGATCTCTTGATCATTGGGCAGCTTGACAAACTATCCTTAGTAAATCAAAGACAGAAATTGAAGCAATCACTTGTTGGCCTTTATGGAATGACCGCAATTGTTACAACAACCAGAGACCCGTTCCAGATATTCAAGTTAAGCATGAGTGGATTACCTCGTATTGGTCTTCTTTTCACGATGCTAATGATCTCCCGAGGCTTTTCCCTCAACGGCGACCACTGGTGGCGTCCCCTTGGGTCCCTCTAATGGATGATCTAAAGCTTAATACCGATGCAGCTTGTGGTGTCGCTAATCAATCCACCGGTTTGGGCTACCTTCTGAGGGATTCGTTGGGTTCAATTTCTGCGACTGGGTGCCAATTTCACCCTTCTCCCTGCAATTCCCTAATCGTAGAACTCATGGCTATTAAAGAAGGTCTTCTCTTTGCGATCTCAATTGGTTGTACCAACCTCTCAGTGGAATCAGATTCTTGCATCTCAAACTCTTTAATAAATGGAGATCTGGACACTCTTGGCCATGAGAAAGTTGTCCTTCATGATATTCACTCAGCTTCTCGCAAATTTGAAGTCTGTTATTTCATGCATGTTTCACGGGAGGCGAATCGGGCGACAGATTTTCTTGCCAAGCATGGTCTTCATGTTTGTAGCTCCATTGAATGAAAGCAAAGCTTTCCCCCTTGGCTTTTGCGTGTTGCTGATCGGGGAGTTTCATTCTTCTGTAGCCTGCTGTTTCCTATTAATAAAGCTTATTTCTTTATCAA